CAACAACAACAACAACAACAACTTTGAAATGCCCTGCCAAGGACATGGGACGGGATGATATGGGCATTGAAGCAGTGCCTCCAGTCTGTCCAAAATGTGTGAGCCACAAAGTGCACTGGCCAAGGATGTTGCCCCATGATCGTAGGAATGTGGGTTTTCCGGGCACCCCTGTTCGCAGCGAGGCCGGTAAGAGCAGTGTCAATCCCTTGCGCATTCTCATGGGAGCACAACCTGACTAATCTCACCATCACTCATTGTCAAAGACATTGAGGCAAAGAGAACACAACCAGTAAAGATGGATCCGTCGCAGTCCCTGTTTCCACGTACCTGAAAAGAACGCCGGCCTGGCGACATGTAGAGGAGTACGTCGCAGGAAATGACCCAAACATGTCTACTCAATGACCAACCAGTGGTGCACCCGAGAATGTGCCCGATTGAAGTCCAGCAGCTCAATACTACCCAGGCGACGCACCGACATATCCCGTTCATGCCATAGTCCGGTAGGCACACAGAGATGGAGAAGCGGCGTCCAAGCATGTGCAAGCCACACACTGCATTGCCATTGGATGCCATTGGCAACTCTGAGATCCATAAGCGGCGGAAAGCAATACACCGGCTGCCAATGTGCCTGCTAATAAGCTGTGAAGCTTGGGGTATTCGGGTCAGATGTAAGCTCTTCTAGACGAGGAAAAGGTCTAACGAAAGTAGCATTGCATGAATTAGCGGAGGGAAGCCCTAGCTTGACGTAGCTAGCTTCTTGAAGAAAGGTTGGGTACAAATTGAAGCGCAAAGATTCAGCGGAGTCTTTTGAGGCCCCCTGCAACCCTGCACGGGACGCAATTTGTGTAGAGACAAGCATGTGAGGGCTTGACGAAAACAACGTATCCCAGCAATGTCTCCATGCAAAGGCCGAGATTCAGGGAATCGTGAACAACGCACGATTCAAACAGGGAGTGTTCGTGTTTACTGCCAGGCCACCCGCGGACATATTTCAAAGCGGCAGAAGTCGCCGAAACGAGGTTTGGAATGGAGGATTGGGGAACCAGAGGACGAGGGGCTTGACGCCAGACCCACGCGAAAGTCGGACAGATGGACCGCGTGACGCTTCTTTCTGTCGCAAGTGGCAAACGGTCTGGAACGCAGCTGCCAGAATCACATTGAATCGCGCGAGAGCTACAGAAAAAGATCAAGGCAGCACACCGGCAAGGAGGATCTTGGGAAAAACACTTGCTCATCGCGAGAAACAATTATTCCAAAAAAGCGTTCTATTGATCGAACTGATTCGAGCGGAAGCACACTCCTGGCGACCAGAACATGCATAAGATTCTCAGAGTCGGACTGATACAGATGTGCGTTTGGCGGGCATGTTCCAGCCATGAGCATTGCAACCTAGGGCGGGGCTGCGCAAAATGCATCAGACATCTAGCGCAAGACAGCTCTCTCCGAATGTCGGGCATGTCCTGGCATCTCAGCATGCGGCGCATTTCAAGAAGCCAGCAATGCCAGCCTTACCGCACGAGAAAACCACCGTACGCGTGGAGATGACTTGAGCTTACAACCAGTGATGTCCAAGGAAGCTTGGTTAAGCCTTACACGCTACCCTCCAAATGTCCGATGTTGGATTTGGAGCTTGTCAAAGCCAAAGTTGTTTCTCGCGGGTGCATGACCTGCACGCGTTGCCAATGCCATAAGGACATTACCACGGAAGCAGACATGCCGGCTCAGATGCTGACATTCTTGAGCGCACCCACCTTAGTCACAGGATGCCGCGGGACACACACTTGCAACGAACAAAGGCTGTAGACCAGGTCTTTTCTCAAAGAAGTGTCATGGCCATACCTAACCCCAGGAACACCTGCTCTTGGCTGTCATCTCCATCAACACGGCTGCTGACCCCTTGTCACATGCTTTCTTGGATTACCTCCTGCTAGTCCGCAGCTACATTAATGGTCTGACGCACCTGCAAGCCCGCCTAGAGCAGTCTGACTACAGACTGCCGGCTCACGCAAAATAGGGTTGCCATCTTCATTCAAGGTTCGCTCCATGTTTACACCCCGCTTTACGTATCTTACCGGGGGCGCATTTTGTGGGCAGAGTAGATGTGCAGTCTGCAAGCAGCTGAGTCCCTTGTCCAAGTGTGTTTTGCTGCCTCTTGCCTTCATGTTGGGTTTGGGGGATGCAATCCTGTCGTGATTTGTGGTTCGGGGGTTGCACAATTCCTAAGTTTGAGCATTTTGTCTATTTTGTCAGTGAAGTAAAGGGGTACATTAAAGGGGTCTCATTGCGACTTGCAAGCTACCATTGGGCAACGCTCTTCAATGAAAGGCTGCTAGTCAGTGCTGCGCCTGATTTCCTTGAGCAGACTCTTCTCGCGTAGTATGATTTGCGTAGGCCTCCAAAGTTGTTGAGAGTTGGTTGCCGCTTGGGAGCGGTTCAGGTTATCAGCCCTGTGAGCGTCTGCGCCCAATAGAGCCACGTAACAGGGCTAGCCGGCAATCCAGCAGACTCAGAAATCGCATGGCTGCAGCTGGGCACTCCAACCTCAATGGGATCACCAAGGGCTGTGCCTGTCAGAACAAGTAGAAACGAAAGAAACTTCTCTCAAGATCTCAGGAAGCAAAGCTCACAGAAAACTCAGCCTGTGCCATGACACTCAGCCAGATTGATGTCGCTTGCCCGGTTGCCTGCCTGCAGGGTGCAGCACTAGTAGCGGCAGCCTCCCATCTTGCCCCATTCTGTAAGTGTTCAGCCTCACGCATGGATCCTGCAATACAAGCTTGCTGCGACGGACCGTTGGGTGCCGTCATGCTGGCACTCCTGCCATCCTGCGGCAAGACTTGATGCAAAGTAGCACTTACTCCGCTCCAGCGGAGCCTGCAAGGGCCGGCAAGCGACTAGAGAAATTTATGGCAGTTTTCAGTCCTGATTCACACAGCAGCCCAGCAGACAGGCGAGTTGATCGTACATGTCTGCCTCCGTGGCGCTTGCCTCGAAGTCTGAAGCCCTGGAAGTACTCGAAACACGCGTTCTTCACATTTCTTTACATTTTTTCGCAGAATCAAACCTTCTACATGCTTGTCAACAAAGCTGATGTTCAGCGATGCAGGTCTTTGGTCCGGCCACTGGACTCTGATCAGAGGCCTAGGATTGCCTCAGACAAGCTACAGCATCAAGAATTTCCTCTGTACAAGTTGTTCAAATGCCGTCTTTCTAGAACGTGAGACATAATGATATCTCGTTCTGATTGCTGCTTCAGGACCGGCATGTGGCTAGACGGCGCTGCTTCACGCAAGAACAAGGAGTGTTGCGACGATCTTCCTGGACAGCAGCACCTCAGGGCAGAGCGAAGGCAAAGAATCAAACGTAGTAACACCACCTTCTGCCTGCGTCTGAAGTCTCTGTCCCTGGGGTCGACTTGCACAAGCATGTGTAAAGCGTGTTGGTAGGGGATGTAGAGGTGTCCTGCTTACTCTTGCCACTAGTTGGGCATCTTTCGCCCAGCCCAACCTGTATGGAAAAGGAGGCACACCAGGGAATGCACGAGGAAAGAGCAAGAATGAAATGCCGCAGTCGGCATCCAACTCAATTGGCAAAGTGGCGGCTGGATGGCATGTAGGGTATCCCGCCAGCATACAGCCTGGAGCTTTCTTTCAATGTCGCACTTCCGGCTGGCTTTTGTGGAAGCGTGGCTCGAACCTTCGTTTGATCGGCTTTGCCTACAACAGGCTTCGCCCCTGTAGGTATCTGAGCAATCCTTGGCAAGCAAATGTCTGCAAAAACCTGGGGAGTTTGTCTGCCATCACCCAGTCCCACGCTGCACAACAGCTCTGTGCATGACTCCAAGCTGGAGAGCAGAGGCCGGAATTCCTGTGAAGCTTGCTGATCTGAGGCCGCGATGCTTTGCCGTGCAGACAGCGGAGAATTAATATCGCTGCGATCTATATCATGCTGTGCTTCGTGCTCCTCAGCTGCCTCTGTAGCAGAGACATATGCAGTCAGCATATCCAGCTCCATGTCATCTAGGAAGTTCATCTCTCGCTCCGACAAGATATCACTTGCCTCCAAGTTCAGCGACCTCCAGGCCGCATGCGCATCGCCCTTGAAAGAAGATGCTTCGATCACATGCACGAACTCCTCCTCACTGAGGCTTCCTGAGCCATCTGTATCCAAAGCGTGGAAGGCTACGGCAACGCCACCATAGTTTGCAAAGCACCAGCGGCGAAACAAGGCCAAGTTTTCTGCCACCTCTTCATCAATCTCATAAAGCGTAATGAATCCCAATCCTCTCCTGTCCAGGCCAAGCCATGCTTTTGAACAGTCCCCCTTCCAGTTGATTCGCTCAGCGGCTTGATTAAATGCAGACCACTTGCAAATCCCATTGCCATCCAAATCCAAACACAGCCTCCATGCTTTTACCGGATGGTTGCCATACTTGGACAGCATCGACGTTTTGAAGGAAACGGCTTCATGAACGCTGGGCTGCTCAGAAAGCCATGCCACAGGCTCCCAAATCTCCAAGAAGCGCAAATCTCGGAATACCAGCCTTCCATTGGGCTCCCAATCCAGAACAGTAAACAGAAAACTCGGATCGAAAGGTGGTGCTTGGCCAGTGAGCCTGTTGCACACGTATACCCATGCCTTCCGGTCCAGACTGTCTGTAGCGCCGCTGGCAGCTGATAATTTCAGCTTGCGTTGGTACATCTTTTCCAGAGATACACACCTATGCCAAGTTTCCTTGATGCTGCCAGTGCTCTTCAACGCCCACTCCCTGAATAATGCCAGAACCCTTGCTTCCTTGAATCCGAATTCTTCAAGCGCAGCACGGCCGTTGGTGATGTCAAGGCAACCCCACAAGGATGACACGTCACCGCGCCATCCCATTTGAGCACAGGCTCTGACAATATCAGATTTTTGAACGTAAAGGTAGCCGTCTCTGTCCAGTGCTGAGCGCCAGGAATGCATCAAACTTCCCCCCAGGCTGCCGCTGCGCAAGAAGCTCATGAAAGCTAACAAGGCCTGCATGGCATTCTTCTTTGGTGCAGGCGACGCGGACGTCGTGCCACTCAAATTTGCACGGCTGTTGGCCGGCCGCAGCTGCATTCGCCGCCGGTGCTGCTCCATGGCCTTGCGAACGAGACAAGTGTGGGGATCTAAATGCAGCGAATCAGCTCAGCATGCTACCCCCTGCGCGTGCAGAGATGTGTTTCCAGAGACTGCAGGCAGACATGGCATACAAGACATCGCCTTGTCAAACCAGGGCAAATCAGCTGACGTCACATACCTAGGTTTGTCAACGCGGAATGCAGCAAAAGAACATGCGCCATGAGGGGTGCAGCCAGGACCGAGCCAGGCGGAGTGGCTATAATGCAAGGAGAAAGAATGCTAGCGCTAGCAATGAATGGTGCTGCGCAGTAGTACTTAGTACGCGTGAGTCGTGCATTTGAGAGTTCACTTTTGTGAAATTGCCGGCCGCCGGCCTATCGTCGTGTCAAGCACCATGCCACGAAAGAATCTGTAGCACAGTCGCAGCATAGTCTTGTACGAGTCTCTATCGCACGTTACTCTAGAACGGTAGTTTCAAAGCAGACCTAAAGTGGAATAGGCCCCTGATTCACCGTTTAGAACAAAGCTGGTAGTAACTGGCAGTAGCATTGTCCCGTCGAAGGTGGCTTCGTACCTTACTGAAAAGCGTTGGACCGACAGGATTAACCTGAATGACAAAGTTGTCCAACCTCTGCGAAACTCTCATCGAACCCTTGGATAGTGTGAAACTTGAAACCTTTTGTTCTACTGACCGAAGAACTCCCGAGCTACCGCCCCCTCCTCTCACTACTCACCACCGTTTTGAAGCGTGGGCTGAAGTTGCAGTCAGCATCTTTGCAGGAAGCAAAGTCTTCTCACTTCAGTTGGCAAACGAAAGTT